AGTCTTGAGCAAAGCCATCTTTTGAGCCCTAGTACAGATCTCATTACACCACTCTTCTGCTCAAATTCTTCCATAGCTTATTATTGCCACTATAGTGAATGTATTATGGCCTCCATGAGCCCACTCTATCTTACATTTCTAACTTCATTTCCTAATTCTTTCACACTTTCAATTCCATCTGAACTATTTGACATTTCTGAGCATACCAGCGTTTGTCCCACTTCAACTCTTCTGCTGATCCTTGATTCTTCACCTGAAATCCTTGCTCTGTCTTAAATTTCTAGGACTTAGAAAGCCCTACCTGTCCTTCCAAGTACAGCTACATCCTACATATTCATATTCATGTTGACTTTCTTGATCCTTCTGCTTTGAGGTATTGTCTTTCTTTGACCTTTATATTATTTTGCTCACACTTCTCATATGACACTGAAGAACTGTCCTCCAATACGACTGTATGTGCTCATTACTCTTAGGAAATGTAAAGTTCATGATGTAGGAACTGTTTCTTACTCATTTTTTATGGCCCATATACCATCTTATATGTAACTGATACTCATTAAACATTTATTTAAAAAGAGTAAGTTGATCCTCCTTCTAACCTAAGTTTTCCTCCTCAATAATACTAATCATAAATATTACAACTCAACTAAAAGGTGTAAGTGAAAATTATAAAATGTTTAAAAATGTAGCAGATTAATAAGCTATGACTCATCATTTTCTTGTGCCTCCAAAATGTGTTCTTAAGAAAAGATTTGAAATACAATTTATAGCTTAACTTTTAGATCAATTATTTTACCTAAATACTTCAATCCATTCTCTTCTAGAACCAAATACACTACCCTATCAGATACTTTTCACAGGCAACATAGTCCCGTAATTGGCACTGGACAATAATGATACATAAACCATCTGACTTTTTTTTTTCTCATTATACATTTGAAAGAAAACTGTGAGTCCATGATCTTGGAAAAATTTTATCTTCAAAATCGTAAGACTTTTATGGAAATAACCATTATTTTTCACTGATATTTTTTGGGGTATCTGAGTTCGTTCTTCCTTACTTATTGACATAAACAGTTAGAAGTTAAAAATGTATTTAACAAGGGAAGAAGTTTAATTTCATAATATTACTATGAAAGGAGAATTTTTTTACCTAGCCACTTCTAACCCACCAGCTCAGGCCCTACCCAAAGGAATCATATCACCTCAGAGAAAGCTTAGGTACATTTATGGTAACATATTTCTCAATGGTTTGACCCATATCCTTCCTTGACAAACATAAAATCTTGTCACCTCAGAAGAACACTCCCTTAATAGGAAAAATATAGGATCTAAATTTGGTATATCTTCACTGTCTAAGAAAATTTTAGCAACTTTGCATTTAGAAAATGTATGTGGAATGATGAAAGAGCACCAATATTTCTTTTTTTTTCTTTTTTTTTGGTTGCTATAGTTAACCCAGGCATTCATTCATGCTTCCTACTGTGCTCTCCACACCCCCGTTGAGGATCACTGCTCTTCTAAAAAACAAAACAAACCAAACATGCTTTTTCCTTATCTAGGTAAAGGATAAGTGATTTATTACCACCACTCATTTTTCCAATAGTAGTGAAGGAAGGTATGACCTATGATCTGTGATCTAAGATCTCTTTCTCCCAGTTCCCTCTGGGCTTGAGGGCAACCAATTGTAAAACAAGTACAATCTAAGACTGCAACGTGAAATAAGGGACACAGTGTGGCTGACACCTAAATCAAACCTGCGGCCTTTGCTTCTTACCTGTGCTTTTTTACTTAAGATGTTAAACATCTCAGAAGCACAACATTTATTAACTATTAAGAGAAAAATCACTCTCATGTGAAAAATATGATTCAGCCCTTGGAAACAGTATTGGGACAGGAAAGACTATTTCCCTTGACCATGCAGGTCCAGAGGACAATTATGGCAATAACCTGGTCTTCAAGAGCTTATACTGCTGCCTTAACTTTTCTTTTTGCTCTCAACTAGATTTGCACAACAGTTATGAAAACTTTTTTGAGCATCTACTATGAATCACAACAGCCATTTTTAGAGTATGTTCTATCTCACGTTGGTATAAAAGAAAAAATGGTTAGGTAAACAGGACTCATTTATACACTTATAGTTCTCTGAAGTACAGAAAGAAAAATCATTAACCTCAATTTGTAAAGAGAGGTGTGTCCATATACGAGCCTTGAAGTCCTGTTTAGTTGTAAAATACTGTAACCCATTCATGAAAGTATCTTTCCTTCTTCGTCTAGAACCCCAAAAGGGAATTTTTAATAAAAATGCCCTTCTAAGGAGTTTGAGAGTCTCTCCTTTCTCTCTCTCGCTCGCTCTCTCGCGCGCGCGCTCTCTCTCTCTCTCTCTCTCTCTCTCACACACACACACACAAACACACACACAGAGAGACCAGTTTTTTGGCAAGAAAGTTGAACTAAAACTTAATCTGTGAAGAATTTCCTTTCTTTTGAGTCTCTCTCTTCCAGTCTGAGACCAGTCCCAGAGGCTGTGTCATTTCAAGCCTGGCACACTGAAGTGGTGATTGCTCGAGGCCTCTCCATTGTAAACCAAGGGTGGAACCTTAAGCCTTGCCTGTTACATCCTGCCCCATGTTCTCCTTCCTTCTGGACCCTTTCCTGTTCATTAACAGCTTCCCGAAATTCATCTCCGCTTGTGGGGAGAGAATAGAAAAGTTACGGAAAGGAAAGTAGAGAAGGAACAGTGTTCTTACACTGTTTTTGAGTTATCAACCCAAAGAAGCTCCTAGCAAATTAAATTGAAAAATTACTTGACATCAGAGAATAGGTTTTGGTTTTAAAATAGCTTTCACTCTCTTAGGGAGTTATATGCCTTTTTATTCTTAATTTGCCCAATTTTTAACAATTCTTATGTGATAATAGTAGATTGCTGTAACCGTATTAACAAGTACTAATAAACGTTACCTTAAAGTGAGTCCCCAAATGTTATAGCATTTGTATTAAGTTTTAGGATTCTCAGAGCCATGTGCTCCCTGGCATTTCATATACTCAAATGTAGAACTGCATTTTTACAGAAGACTAAATATAACCCTATACAGAAAAGAAAGCTATTCTTAAGAATATAATAGAAATCAAGCCATGGAGATAACACATGGTACAAAGACTGGCAGAAGATACAACATTCGTGGTGGCAGTATACAAAAAGATGCAAGAAAGTAGAGAAATTCAGCTGTGTTTTTTTTTTTTTCCCATAGACATTGTCTATACACATTAACAGCACTCCAACAGAAAACAGACAACTGTTGCCTTTTTTTAGCACCTGACTACACATTCACCTAAAGTTTTTAAAAACTCACACCCTTGTAAAGGTTTTTCTTTTCAACATACTCTCACATACAACATGATTCTTTGCCTCCATAAAAGGCAATAATGCCTACAGATATCTTCTAATCACAGGATTTATGCAGCTTTTCTCCTTTCATGAGAAAAAATCATCTCTTTCCACTTTATGTCAAAATTATACTTTTCTTATAGATATCTCTAAACTAACATTTGCTTCTACCCTATTATCCACATAGTCAAATCCCAGCCTGCTTATAAATACTGTGTATGAAATAGTTCATGAACAAATACAAAGTCAGATATGGCGTGACCTACTGATCATTTTTTTAATGATAAAACTAGACAACATTGGATCGAATAGAAACAGCAAGATAATCTTAAAAGTTACCTTATATTTTTTCAATTGTTTAGTAACATTTTAAGCTAACTTTCAATATTAAAGTAAAACAAGGAATTCAAGTTTCTCCGCTGAGAACAAGAAAGCCTGCTGAGCGTTTTAAAGAAAAGGAGTCACTTCCTTTTCCTTCATTAGATGACTTGATATTTCCCCTGTTATATTTACATAGTTCAGTTGTCTAGACAATTGCACAAGGTCAATATGACAGCTCAGGCCCTGCTTTCCTGCCCTTTGCTTGATTCTACCTTTTGCCATCTGCACCAGAATACTGTGCACTTTGTTTTGATTTTTAAGGAGCTCAATTTGAGTACTCCAGTCTATTTTTCCAAGCATTCACCTGCAAGCATTTTCATCTGAAACACTGAACTCGCTCTCTCCACACGGCACCACCCCCCCAATGTGATTAGTGTCAACACAGCTGCCCTATTCTGAGGAATGTAAACTAATATTGTTGTTAGACCTCCCTCAACCTTAGGAAACTTCCTCAAAGTCTTACAGTCTCTTCAGGAGTTTTTTCTTATAGCTTTGCCCAGTGATTTAAATCCCCAATACAAACTTGTTGAGGAGAAATCAGAGGCCGATCATCAATTCTTTAAATAAAATCCTATTGCTATAATACACATTTACATGTATGCATGTATAAATATTTAATAGCGCATCAAAATAACTTCATCATTACACAGTGAAAGTCCAAGTCAATCATCAGACAATGGAGACATTATTGAAGTCCCTTCAGAATTTAGGTGAGTCTCTGGATCGATAGAATTCAAAAAGATGGCTTTAAAAATCTCACCTGATTATTCTGGGGAAAAAAAAAAAAAAGCTTCATTTGCTTTTAGGATGAAGCCTGAAGATAGAACTGAGAACTTAACTGAGTTAAGACACAGTCAACATTTTGTCTTATTGGTATGTGAATACCCAACAGAAGAGTCATTTCAATGTATCTAGCAGAATGTGATCTGCTCTCTCACTTTGTTCTTATAAAAAGTGATTTTATAAACTCCTGAATATCAGGTTTTCCAAATATATAACATCACCTCAAAATTTTTCTTTTCCCTTTCTCCTATTTTATTTCATATTCTACTTAAAGAATAAAAGTCTTGCAGTCACCACAGAAAACATTAACCAAGAAAAGGAGATTCCTATATACAATTTACAAAAACATTATATTGGGTGACCAAGAACCACAAATATGTAAACTTTATTTACAAAATAAAAACCAGAAAGCATCTCTAAATGTAGAGCTAAAATCTAAAATCCTTACCTCACTAAATTGAGTCTGGGCATTATTTTCCAGGTACAACATGTTAGCTGTAAGATTGATCAATGCCGCTGTCCTCTCTTCTGGCTCCAGGATTTTGCCAACCCCCCCACCCCCTCTGAGACCTTTACAATAGGAATCTACTAAGAAGATAACAGAACTCAAGTTCCTCTCTCTCTCTCTCTCTGTACATAATTTTAGGTTCCTTAATATATACTCAACTATAGGCATGAGGGGGCGGGACTCTTCTCTTTACCTGTCCAATCCATCAACTTCCACCTGGACTCCTCCACTCCAATGGAGTGAGGCCTCTCCCATCTCATTAAGTAGTTAGAATTCCTTATCACCAATCTTTAAAGAAAAAGAAAGAAAGAGGGGGAAAAAAAACAACAGGAGACAGACAGGTAAAACTTTCCCTTGTCTCTTTCATAAGAAAGTGCACTCCCTCCTAAAAACAAAACAAAATCTCCCCAAACCACAAACCATACCACGACCAGGATTTACAGAAGGCATTTCAGAAAGTTTTTCACACTTTTACAACTGAAAAGCAAAACTTCAAGGAAAGTATTTAAAAAGACTTTTTTTAAAACCTAGATGTGGAGTTTCAAAAATGATTACACAGTTAGAAATTAGTGAAAAATAGTCAAATCCATGGTTATATTTCCTGAATATAAAAATTAAAATCCACTGCCTGATAGCTGAAAAGTTTTCAACTTATTCTCCCCAGAGAAGTGTCAGTGATTTCATACAAATCTAAGCCAACATAAGCCACTTGATTTTTCAGAGCATGTTTCAGTAACAATTTAAACCATTGGTCCCGTTAACTTGTGAAAACAAACAAACACCCATATTATGTACAGGAAATAGAAATCCTGGGAAATGTGCCCATTTTTTTTAAAGCCTTTAAAAAAAAAAAACTGCTTCTTTCTATCACTATTTCTGGAGACACGGAATCAATACAATAGCTTATCTATTTGAATATTTATTTTTTCTATTGTATTTAGTTTTTGTTAATACTCAAAGATAATCTATTTTTTCTATAAACAAGTAATAAATTACTAACAGAAAGACTAACCTTTAAAGTATGAGAGACCAATTAGCTTTTACCTTAATATGTATTTATATAAATACATAAGAACGTTCATGTAGTATCTGGCTTTGGTTACCATGATTTAGTGAGGATGAAATGCACCCTGATGGTTATTGTGTGAGTCACTAAAATATTCTCATTACTGCCGAGTATTCTATGTAATTCAGTTAGATTTATATCTAAACATCACTTCCCACCTCTGACTCAGGAAGCCAATTCCCTCTGTGCTGCCTGAAAGTTACAATTGTCTAAGATACCTTAAGTGAATATTTAGATTTTTTCTAAAAATTAGAAGATAAGAAAATTAGAAGCCAGAATAGACTAGTTTATAAGATTTATAAACTTATAAACTTTATAATTTTGCAAGTATATTCATGACCTTGGATTTGTCTCCTCTTTATTTCTACTTCCATATCCATAAAATACATGCACATAAAAGATGATGTGATCTTTGGGTGATATTTATTTTAAAGCTTCTGAGTTACTGGTAAGAATTTTTCTTTTTCTTTTTTTCACACACAGATACACACACAAATCAGTAAAATCATTTGATCTTAAGTGCCCAAGAATATAACAACATTCTGTAACGCTGCAAATTTATATCAGGCAAAATGTTCATTTCCTGACTGAAACGTTGGGAAGATGACCTCTTACTAGCTGTAATTAACCAAATGAGCACTGACTACGAGGCCAAAAAAGAAATCACTTATGAAATGCAGTATAATTATTTGTACCGTGTATTTAAATTTCTATTACCTACGGACAGCTTCAGAGTCAGTCAATAGTGAAATATAGATGGTTGCTTCCTTAGAGCTCTACTCTATTCCAGTGATTCAAAACTTGGGTGATGCTGAGAATCATCCAGCATGCTTTTTAAAAACAGATATCTGGATCTGGCCTCAAATCTACGAGATCACACTTTCTAGGCATGTGACCCCTGTATTTGTAGTTTATACAGCAGACTAGGCAGTTCTGAATGTCAGAACTTGAGAATCAATGATCTAGAATAAACACTATTAGTTAGCACAACTGCTCAGAAAGTTATTATTAGATTCAGTTTTTACACGAGTGGGGTAGTGTAACCATTTGAACCCAAAATCTATTATTTGCAGCCTGTTGGTGATATCATATCAAAATGTAAGCAAATTTTACCTCTCTCAAAGTCAAAAGATTCTCATTAGGATTTGATGGACTAAAGAGTCAAATTCAATCTACTACCGCGGCCTTCAGTTTGATAAAGCCTGACTGTGGTCTCTCTCTAACATAGCTATCAAGATTCTGGACAAAAATCTAAGACCTGTATCTTATGTCTGCCATGGCTACTGAGAGAAAAGAACTCTAGGCTGAGAGTTACGGGAGTAACTGGGAGATAGGCTTCATTCTCAGCTCTGCCTTTAGCTAGCTCTGTGCCCTTGGGGCAGGTTACTTAACCACTTCGAATTAAGGTTCTTCATTTATGAAATGAGGGGCAGAACTAAATGGTTTCTTAAGAGCATTACAAAGATAAGAGTCTCTGTCCAGAATTCACAGAAGTTATTGAAAGGATTATTCACATTTTTCTTATTTTACTTGAATGCATGCAACTTAATTTACTCATCTGTGTAAATGGAACAGTTGCATTAAAAAGATACTAAAATGCTTAAATGACATAAAAGATAAGGTACAATGTATTGGGGGTGGGGAACTGTGTTTTTCTGCTTTAAGATATCCTCACAACAACAACAAAAATAGCTAATAATCTATTTAAATTTGAATTTAGCACAAACATTTCCTTCCATAAAAGATCTAATTAAAGTACATCTGATAATGTTTAATTTCAGAATTAAACATTAGCATAAATACCTGATGTAAATATCATGCATTTATTTAAGTAGGAGGTTATTTACTGTACTTCCCACAAAACAATGCTTATCCATGGATCTCAAAGGTTTAGTAATGTGTATGAATTTTCCTAACAACCTAGTTATGTAAGTAAGTATCATTATCCCCATTTAGTAGATAAACTCGAAGACTTTAAGTGGGTTTCCCAAGCCTTCAGAAGTAGAACAACCCTATTTCAGTTCACAATTTTCTATTCTCAGACACTTCCCTCAGAGTTTTCAAATCTTCATGGCCTCACAATTAGAGGTCAGCACTGAGCCCTGGATAAAGATGCCGCTGGCAGCAGAAGTCCAAGATGAGGGATAACACGTATACTTTCCTGAAATACTGCTGTTAACGTTTTGTTGAATATCCTCCTTAACAGTTATTTATATAAGAGTTCTTTGTATATGAAAGATATTAACCCCTTATTATAGTACTCCAAATATTTTCCTGTAGTGCATGTGTATGTACGTGTATATGTGTGTCTGGTTTTTCATGCTTGTATCTAGTTTTGTGATTTGCTTTTTGGTGTAGAAAAATCCCAATTTTTTTTACGGTCAAATTTTCACTTTCCTCTTATGACTTATTACTTTTCAAACATAATTTGAAACTTTTTCCCCAGTCCAACATTATAAAATTCTTCAATTATATTATCATCTAACATTATTATAATTTTTTAAATTTTTTCATATGTAAATCTTTTAACTCTCTGGAATTTATATTGGTATGAGAAACAAATGAAGATCTCCTTGCCCCCAAAGAACTAATCCTCATCATTTTATTTAATATTTTTTCTCTGTGATTTGACATGCCATCTTTATAAATATCAGATGCCGATGGCCCTATTTTATAGCTGTATGTGAGAAAGCTAAGCAAGTATATAAA